AGTAATTTTCCAGCCAAACTCATTTGGAGGACTAAAATCCCTCCCCGTATAGGTTTTTTCGCATGGGAGGCTTGCTGGGAAAGAATATTAACTATGAACAGACTTAGAAGTTTGGGTAGGATTACTGTCAATGGTTGTTATTGTTGTTTAAGGGATGAGGAAACATGCAATCATCTATTATTGTGGTGTCCTACTACATATAGATTGTGGTGTATGATTTACGGGCTTTTTGGGATTGATTGGGTTATTGCGGGCTCGGTTAGGGGTGAGATTTAGGTTTGGGATGGTTTACTTGTAAAAAGAAACATTGCTAATATAATCCCTTTGACGGTTTTTCGGATCATTTGGAAAGAGATGAATAGTAGAGTTTTTGATAGTATTGAGAGTAGTTTTGATAGAATTAAAAATAGGTGGATACACTATTTTAGGTTTATTTTGTTAGGTCATGACATCAATAGTGAAGTGGATTTTGGAAATGTCATTGATACTCTAACAGCATTGTAATTACTTATGTATTTGAGTGATACTCCCATTTTATTGGTATCATGTTAATAGATACTTTAACACTTTTTATTCAAAAAAAAAAAATTAACTCCCTAATTTACAACTATCTCGGTCTTCTTCTCTTCTTCTTCTTCTTCTTCTTTTTCTTTTTCAATTTCAGATCAGTACTATGACCAAGGTATCTGACAAATTAGCATTTGTTTGGCAAGCTTTGAGGTTTAGACTTTTGGCTTGTAATTTGAGAATTTTTGTTTGGATTGGGGTGGCAGTGAATATACTAGAAGCAAATTTTCTTAAGTGAATTGTGAACATTTCTCTTCCTGGTTTGGGGAATAAATACATTCGAACTTTAGAATTATCATTTAATGCATCAGCCTCTAGTAACCTGGCATGGTATTATATTGTTATGAAGAATGAAAAGGAGATCTTTGATCTTTTTTGGATTTCATACTGTCCTGTTATCATCTCTGACGTATTGTTTTCTAGGCAAAGTCTTTGTGGATGGAAAGATGGTGAATAAAGCTGGAACACCTATCTCTGATAAGTCTGTTGTCGAAATTATAGCTGAAGTTCCAAAATATGTATGTAGGTGATTATTCGCTGCAAGATCCTTTATTTGCTTCAAGAACCTACTTACATTTCCATGCATAAGATACCACTTCGTCAATGAAACTACTGAGACCTGTTTCTTTAAATTCTCTTCACTTTTTCTTATCTAGAGCAGGATATAAGTTAGAAGCTGCCATTGAACAGCTGGGTGTTGATGTGGCTGGCAAAGTAGCTCTTGATTCAGGGCTGTCAACAGGAGGATTTACTGATTGCCTTCTTCAGTATGGTGCATCAGTTGTTTATGGAGTTGATGTAGGCTATGGACAGGTACTAGTAATTTTCAGCATAATTCATCTTTTTCTTGAAGCCACATTCTATATATCATGCACTGATAAACTACCATTTGTTTCTTCAAATTATTACCCAAAAAATGATGTCTTAAAAGGTTTTCCTGCTAACTAGGTGATGCTTTGTTCTGGACACTTTTGTTGGATAATAGTCCTCACTATTGTTCAGAAGTGTTATGATATAGTTTCTCTCTAGCTGCCTTTTTTTTTTTTTAAAGATGCTTCAAGGAGAAGATGTAAATAAATTCCAGAAGTCTGGAATGAGAGTAACTTCATTTCAAATTTATCTCATATCCATTCATTTTTTACTAAAGAGATGAATAAAAAATTGTTGTTTCTATTTTCTGATGAGAGGGTCTTTTCTGTTTCACCTTTCTGCTTCAGGTTATATATTTTTACTGGTGTACAACAAATGTAATTAATTATTAATGAATGTTCAATTATTTCAAATAGGTAGCAGATAAAATTCGTCGTGACCAACGAGTTAGTGTTATAGAGCGGACAAACTTGAGATATCTCTCTGAATTACCTCAAAAAGTTGATTTGGTGACTCTGGATCTTTCCTTCATTTCTATTCTCTTGGTAAGCTGAAATTTCAGAAGTATGCAATATTTATGTTAATAAGGGTATTTGTGTTCCTATCTTCTTTAATAAGAAAATTTCTCTAATTGCTTCTTTCTTGTCCCCTTTTAATTTGAACTCAGAACTTTTATATTTTCACTGCAACAACCTTTTTGGCGCTTTTATTAATCAATATGCACTAGTTTAGGGACCGACAATAGTTGAAATAAACAGCGTTGGCCTTGTTAAACCCCAACAAAAATTACCCCTGATGATGTAGTTATCTATGTAAAAGCGATTATTCTCGTAAATGTACTATGAACCAGCTGTTATGCTTCCATGCATTGTGATTACTAATTAAATTATTTTTCACAATTAGGTAATGCTACAGTAGTGAATGTGATGAAAGAAGATGCAACCTTAGTTACCTTGGTTAAACCTCAATTTGAAGCTCGCAGATCACAGGTGAATTACAGCTCACCGTTCCATGCTTTTTAGGAGAGTACCCAAACCAGTAGTTAATTTGGGATTACTTTTTTGAGGAGAAAGAATTTTAAATGGTGCATTGCTCTAAAATTTATCATTTCAAAAAATCATTTGCTCGCAGGTTGGAAGTGGTGGAATCGTGAGGGATCCCCAGGTGCATCAGGAGGTATGAACTTTTCTCCTCATGTAACAGGAACTATGGAACTATCCCATGTCACTATACCAGTATAACTTAGGTTCCTATGATTTCCTTTCGAGAATTAACGTCAAATCTTTTCTAGAGCCTTCCATTCAAGAACTTTTAACAAAAATTTACTCATTGTACAATATGCTATAGGTCCTCAAAGGAAATACTAATCATGTCCTACTGTTTGTGTTGTTTTTCAGGTACTTGAGAAGATTATAAGAGGTGTAGAGAACTTTGGATTCATCAGCAAAGGATGGATCGAATCTCCTATTAAGGGTGCTGGGGGTAACAAAGAATTTCTAGTTTGCTTTAACAGAATAGTTGAGAAAAATGAAGAATAATGTCTGAATGATAAGGCGATAGTTTGTATTTTTTTTGACAATGCCAAAGCTCCAAATCCGTATGCCTGCAACACTTGCATTTAAAGGTGGCTGAGTGCTTCTAGTATTTGCACATCGTATTTAGCAGGTAGAGAATAGTAATTGGAAACCAGATGTTTTAACTGTTAAATTATAATTCTTAGAATTGCTATCTTTATATACTGAGCTCAATTTAACAGCTAAAAGGTTGAAGTTCACAATTAATGGTGTAAGTTCTAACATTCTCCTGTTTCAACTCCTATTTGAAGTTCACAAGCATACACATATGTTTCTCACAGAATAGCTATCAACTACAATAACCATGCTCATTCAACATCTCAAAAGGGACTCTAAGGCCAACCACCTGGCCAACAACTGAGAACCATGAGAGCAAATATATGTCAATGGCCACTCCACGTTTAGCCAAATCCACATCGCCAAGATATAGAAGTTTGATCCACTCACTGGTTCCACACGGATGTAGTTTGCACCATGGCCGTTGCAAATATGGATGCTCCTGCAATTCATAGTTCTTATACTATTGAATTAGTCTTGTGCCATGAGAATCTCCAGAGAACTACCATAGCATAAATTAACGAGAGGATTTCCAGACTGCCATAAAACTGTTTATATTCATTAAAGGTAAACAGGAAAACTATCTCAACTGGAGAAATGACACATGTGACTTCAACCAAAGACAATTTCTTAGAGGTAATCCACTTCAGGCCACAGCCAACCCACGACTTTCTAGGTTTTCTTTGGTTACTCGAAAGTTTCCACTTTGGTTGACAACCAGAATCACACATCTGACACATTTTTACTAAAAGATGATAGAACTGAGACTATGACCATCACAAATTCAAAGTTTGATTAAATTTCTTTTCAAATCAGAACTTATTTTACGTAGAAGATAATAGAAGCTTTATTTAAAATGATAAAAATTAAGTTTATGTAGATTTTAACCCAAAATTGGAACAATAGATCCATTTCAGGCATATTTAAAATGATAATGAGTTAGTTCCAAAGATTATCTATGGTAGGTTTTAGATACTCCATTTCAGGCATCAGTTGCAAAATATGATGGGCATAAAATATAGCACAAATTCAGAGATCAATGACAATATAAAACCACCCTAGTTTTCTTGACTTCCTTAATAATAGGCAAAATTAGGAAAAAGAAAAGGAAGGTAGACTAGACTAGACAGTTAATGAGGATAGACTACCTCCTGAGTTAAGAATGTCCATTTAGACTCCAATAATGCCGCAGAGCAGCCAGGAAGATCTCTTTCAATTTCATCAAAAGATAGTGCTCGTCCATCTGTTTGCATAATGAAGGATCATATGTTCAATATATAAATTTATGTAGATGACGTTCAGTCTTGCAAAGTTGGAATTACAATAATATAATATTCAAATTTCAGCAAAGGCTATGTGTAGAAGAAATATAATATTTTTCTAAAATCCACCTGAATATTTCTACCAACAGAATAACTTCAAACATAAACTGACCAGCTATGAGTCTCCAATAATGCAGGGTTTGCATTTTCTTGCATGTCAAACAAAATTTACCACATTTCATGTATCTCAAATCAAAAGAATGCAGACTCTCTGAGTATAAGAACAAAATTATGCTGTGTATTACCCTAACGGCAGAGGAGATTGAAATAAAAGAATTTCCTGTCCAGAGCTCCATTCACATTTATGAAAAAATTGTTTCCAACTAACCTTGTTTGTTTTTCTATTGAAACGGTTGGAGATTAGAATGTGTTTCCAGAGCCAGAGGAGAATAGAGTTGGACCTATTATCCATCTCACAGGAGAGAGAAGCCACACTACAAGCTAAGTCATCATAGAATATTGCAAATAATAAGTGGATGATCATTTTTGTTTGTGAACATCAAATTATTTTGAGTAAGAAACAATCAAAGAATCATTAATGGACAAAGTAAAAGCTAAAGACAGATTATATATTTGTGTCCATAAAAGGAAAGGATCTATCTTCAATGGCACAAAGCTCAGGAGAATCGGGCTAATACCATTTTGGAAGTTAAATGATCAAGGTTGTACCTCAACTGACATAAACCAAAACTTAAAGGAGATTTATGGATTAGTAAAACTGCATTACTATCAGATTATACATTCTAGTTATGATCTAACTGCATGGCAATGGACTCACCACTGTAGTATGCTCGGAGATATAGCACCGGAACCCTATACGAAGTACTGTAAACAATATGAAAATCATAGTAATGCGCTTCATGATGATCACTTTGTATCTGGCAAAAACAACGATCAACATAGTTAATCAAGAAGAACAGAAGGTCTGATAACAAATTATAGCAAACTTCCCCGAGTTATTCATGCTTCCTTACCATCTAAGACCAATACTTGCTCATAACAAGTTAACCCCAAAAAGTAGAGTTAAAGTTCATGTACCAATGTAGCTTTATCAATAAGTTCTTCATCTTTAGAGCACTCAGTCCCTTCTTTCCCAATATGACTTCCTTCATCATGACCCTCCTACCATAAAGGCTATAACCCATCAAATTAATTTTTTTGAAGTGTCAGACTACAAATATCAGCATAAGACCAGGCCAGACCTTACTTGATCTAAGCACGCAAATCTTCTCTAGCGAGAGGTATTTATCTGCCTGAGAAGTAGAAACAAACCAGACAGGAAAAGCACAACAAAAAATTTAAGACCGTCAATTAACTTTAAAAAAAATTCAGAGAACGGCAGTGGAATAATTGACGAGACTAACGTTGTGTGAAGCAACAAATGGTTGTTTTGGACAAGAAACCCAGGACCATTGAGGATAAGCAGGGTTGAACATCTTCCATTTGTCAGCAAACGCACAAGCAGCAAGATAAAATTCACTGGCCGAAAGGGTTCCATCCCAAGATGAAACATCTGTTCTTGTTCGAATTGAGGTCATGAAAATCTAAACAGAACAAGAAAAACATTACAATTTAGAATTGAAAAAACCCTGAAATTAAAATGTTTAAACAATTCGCAGTCTACAATTGAGTAGATAATGCATCGTTTTGAGATTTAACAACTCGATTACCTAAACAAGAACCAGAAAATATACATTAATAAACACAGTAAACATATACATTGAACCTGTACAGCGAGATAAACCTATGGAACTAGAGATGAAAATTTTTTCTTAATTGCCCAAGTTCTACATCTAAACTCAAAATTCAAACATCCGAAGGAGAAGAGGAAGATTCTCTGGTACCTGGAGCTTCGTTTTTTCTCGTCTTAGCGCTCTCCAAAAGGAGATTTTGCGCCTTTGATCAACTGCCCTTGCTTTTGCTTGTATGCTATCGCGGTCTCAGTTTACAAATTTAAATTATATATAAAATTGATTTTAAAATATAAAAATTTGAATCTACAAATAAATTTTATTATATTTAATAAGAAATTTTAAGAAGAAAACATAAATAAAATCAAATCAAATTAACAATGAATTATTATTTTTTAAAATTTATATTATATTTAAGTTATTTTTTATTAAAATTTTCACTATTTAATAAATATAATATTTCTACTATTTTTAATAATATAATTTAGAATATAGAATATACCGTTGAAATTATGCACAATTTAAAATATTATATTATACAATCAAAATAAATATACAAACAAAATACAAATAAATAAATAAAACCCAATCAACCTGTATCATTGATTTCTACCCGAGTCCCGACTCACGAGTCTCGAGTCATAAACTCAAAACAGTTAAAACGAGACGACTCACCCGCTTGCGAGCGTCCATTTTCATTTCAGCTCGACTGCTTCTGCTCCCATTCTTATCTTCTGTTTCGTCTTCCTCGGTCATTCATATTTCATGATTAATAATGGGGTCTCTTTCCATGCTCCTCTCGTCTTCCCCACCTCTCCAAAACCTTCTCAAAAGCCCCAAATTCAATTCACGCTCTCCCAGTTCTCCCCCAAACCAGTTATTCTCCCCCAAGGTTCCACCCCTCGCCCATCTTCATCTCCATTCTTCCCTCCTCAACTTTTCTCCTCTTTTGCAGACGCTAACTAAAACCTCTCTCTCACTCGCCATATCTGAGCTCTTTACTTCTTTCCCTTGCTTTGCCTCAGAAACTATTGTCTCCTCTGACGGGGCCGTCTCTGAGAAGATTAACCTGGAAGCAATTTTAGTTTCCATCGATGACTTTTTTAACAGAAATCCATTTTTTGTTGCTGGCTGTACTTTCATCTGGCTGGTTGTCATACCTGTAGCTCAGTACTACTTGGGAAAATGCAAACCTATCTCTGCCATTGATGCGTTCCGGAAGCTCCGGAATGAACCAAATGCGCAGCTTTTGGATATTAGGGACGAGAAGACTTTGGTGTCATTGGGATCTCCGAATTTGAAGATTTTAAGTAAGAGTGCTGTTCAGGTTCAGTTCCGCGAAGGAGATGAAGATAAGTTCGTGAAGAAGGTAATGGCACGGCTTGCAGACCCCAAAAATACTGTCGTCTGTATTTTGGACAAGTAAGTGTGAGAACTGAGTTTCGCTTTTTCTTTTTTATTTTTCTTTTCAGCTTAAGTTTCTGTTTCCGCTACAAGATTTTCTCTTAATGTTTCTATTTTGAGGAAATGCTGATTAGGAAACTAAAAAAACATTTTCCGTTAGCCCTTCGGAATTGGATTGACATTCCATGTATGCAAATTTAGTTGGTATAGAAAGAGGTAAGAGAGAAACGGGATAACTAAATTGATCGTGTGGATCTGTTTCAATAGTTCTTCCCTCTGATTTTCTACTTAGGTTACCTTTGGACAATAACTTTTCTAGAATTTGTTTGGAAATTTGATGGAATTTCAAACTTGGAATAGGGTGGAGGTGAAATTTTAGTAGAAACTGGAATGCATTTTTTTAGTTTCATTTGGAGTTCCTTGTTAATTTTCATCATTGTCTGATTGATTTTTTGAGGATTTTTTTTTCTCAATTGACTTAAGCGTGTGTGTATTTCCAAATGAATTTTATAAAAATACTTGATTTCTTCCAAACATTGCCTTACTGGTGTACAAATTGTATGTGGATTTAGGGTATGGTCCAGAATATTATCAATTTTTTTCAATTTTCTGAATAAATGAAGAGCATAAAGTACAATCTGAAGTCGTAAAAGTTGCTGATTCATAGTTCGTCTGCTGTTATTTCTCTTATTTTGTGTGTAAGGTAGTTTTGATGGTAATTCGATGAAAGTGGCTGAGTTACTGTTCAAGAATGGTTTCAAAGAGGCTTATGCTATCAGGGGCGGAGCCAGAGGCAAAAATGGGTGGTTGGTATGCTTCTCTTTCTTTTGAACTTGTGTGCAACTTCTATTTCTAAATGCTAGACCTTGGTTCTTGTTCTATTTTAATCTACATTTTTTTGAACTTTTATATTGCGTGCAGATGTGACGTTTGCAGTTTAAAGGGTCATTAGTTGTTTAACCTAATGAAAAGTGTCAATTCTACAGAAAATATAAAGTATTATAGGAGTTCAAACGAGTTGAAAGACCTGATGCATACGATTTCTACACTTCAAATCTTTATTTTACAATTTTTGAATAGATTTTCTGAAAACAATATTGATAGTAAACCAATCAAATTTAAGGAGGTTTTCAACTTATTTGTACCGCACAAGCATCTAATGATTGCAGGTATGCAACTATTGAACCATTATATGACTAGAAAAATCTACGGAGGAATTGAATTACTTGTAGATCACAATTTCACGGTGTTTTTGCAGCATGTTTACATGGCCAATCTACATTTGTTTAGAATGAAGCTAAAATTTATATAAAATTTATTTACAGATTTATACTTACTTTAACTTCCATCTACAAGACAATGAGAGTCTTACTTAAAATAATAAGAATTGAATTCATATTGAATCAGCAGTGAATTGGAAAATACATTCATAATATCATCAATTTTGGTGGAGTTTAGAATGTATCATTCTAATTCCATATCAAATTCATAGATACTTAATATTCTAGGGTTTGTTTGGGAAAAATATTTTTCTGTAATTTTTCACTTTCTTATCCTGTAGAATTATGGTACAGGGAAGCAATCAGAAGCTACCTAAGGTTCATTTTTAACTTTAATAACCGCTTACACTCTTAGACACTTATAAAGACCACTGCAGAACAGCATACTCCAGATTTTGCCCTGAGACTTGGCAATAAATTTATTTTGTCCACTTTTGATGCAGTTGTTTTCCACTGTTTCCAAGTAGATGTACAGCAATACCTAAGACAAGAAAGAGAAGATAAGAAGGGAAGGGAATAGTGGTAGGGTGAGGGAGAGGAAAAGGAAGGAGGCAGAGGAGAGGCAGAAAAGAGAAGAAATTTGATTCTTAGTCTTGAAGATTCATACTGATTACAGATTCAGCATTAATAGATGATACAGTTGCAGACCATTATAAACATTCATTTCCACTATTCTTGTTACAGCTCCTTTCTGCTAGAATTCCTCATATATACTTTCTTGCAGGAAATACAGGAAAATCTTTTGCCGCCTCCAGTACATATTTATCCTAAAAAGAAGAAGGCTAGGAGTTCTGAGCATCTAGGGGCCAATGCAAGAATTAATCAGCAAACTGAAAACCAGGAGGGTTCCTCATCTTTGAACTCTCCCATAGTAGAAAGCCAAAGGGTGGACCGTGATGGTATAAACAATTGCAAGAAATCCATGCCAGATGTACAAGTCAGTCGTAGATCTTTCTCTCCCTATCCTAATGTATGGTCATCTTGTCTATTCTCCCTCCTTTTTGAGATATATAATTGTGATGGTTATGTTTGAAATCTGTGAGAAATATCTCCTTGATGCATATGTTCTCAAAGTCCTGTTTAAGGACCTTCCCTCTTTCAAATCTGATTGAAATCTACATTTCATATTCATCTAACTACAATATGACTTGTTGTATTTGTGTTATCTCACCCTCTCTGGAATTTCTCGTGAGTTGGAATTCAATTCTCATTATGAGAAATAAGAGCTGAATTATCACTTGGGAGGAATTCAAAATGGGTGTCGGGTAACCCAAAGATTACAAATCATCTTGTAGTTGAACTTACTCAAACTAATATAAATTTGAAACCAAGGATTCCGAAAGGGCTAAAAGCAGGTTCATATAATTGTATTCATGCATGAATATCTGGAATTATAAAGAATGTTACTGATGCAGAATGAGAAGACTTTAGGGTGAACATATTTCAATATGAAGACATATTTATTAATTGTAATGTTTATGTCTTACTTATTTAGCTTATTTTAGGAACTAATAACCATAAACTTGCTAGTCGTATGAGTTCGTTTTTTTTTTTAGTTAGGATTCTGTTTTTTTATCTTCTTTTTTTTTTTAAAAAAAAAGTAACAAAATATAAATATGTCGTTAAGTATAGATACCAAGGAGGTGGAGACCCTTGTACTGTTTAGTTATAATCTATTATAGCGTGTTCAAATTATTTAGCTTATTTTCTTATTTAGTAGAATCTTTAGATAGACTAAAGAGGGTGTAAAATGTGCTATTAATGATATATCTTTTGATTTAATTGTAAGCAATGATGTTGTTGAGGTCAGTGATGATGATATTCTTGCTAAATTGAAGAAGACCCGGTTGGAGATACTATCTCAAAAAAATCTTGAAGTGAATATATTTCAATGCGCGAGATATCTATAAAGTTGTATTTATGCATTATTAAGTATTTAACTTATTTAAAAACCAATACCTATATACTTATTTGTGGTATGAGTTTACTATTTCCTATTTATTTATCTTATTTGATTGTTCTTTATTATGTGTTATCTAATTAATCAACTTATTTTTGTATTACCATAATCTTAGATAGATTTAAAGATTCTTATTTTGTTTATATTATGATATCATAAATAAAGTATTATAGTTTAATTGTTTGGTATATTATTCATTTGATTATTATACAACACTTGAGTTGTTGATTTAATTATTAAGATCCAAGATCTCAAATTTTGATTCTTAACAAATTTTCTCTAAGTTGTATTAAAGTTCTCTTTGTCTACTTTACTTCCTCACATTTGTCTTCTTTCCCTCCCTTTGTTGGATGCTTGTAGTACCCAGATCTGAAACCACCATCGTCCCCAACTCCTTCCAAGCCATGAAAGCAAAGCAAATTTGATCGCATAAGGCCCTGCCATTGCCATATCAAGAAGGTTTCAGTTCCTTGTAGCGCACGATTGCTCCTTCTGAGAAGCAATACATTTTTCTAAAAATCTTTATGTTAAGATTTGTGGGAAATTGTTAGGATGTATGTATTCATCCCCCCCCCCCCCCCACCATAAATGTCTTCTTTCTTGGTGAACTGTGTTTGTGTAAGAAGAAGAGTCATTCCAAATATGATGTTTACTTCTAATAGTAACAGCTTTGGGATCCAACTCTCTCGCCCTCTAGTTTTTTTTTTAATTTTTTATTTGGCAGAGATGCATTCTATAGTAAGTATAATGATAGTCAGCCTGTATTCCCACTCTTGACCTCAGAAACTAAGCTTTCCATTTATTTAGCTTCTTAGAAGTTGATCTAAAATTTCGTACAATATGTATAATTTTTCATTAAGTTCGCCGAGCATCTGGCACTACTTTTTCTTTAACAAATTAATAATGAAGTCAAGTCAATCAAAGTCCTCTTAGTAAATCGAAGTAGAGGCAGTGTAACATTGTGCAAAAAGACATCATACTTAACAGTTCTGTACCAAGGAAATCGTACCATCTTAGATTCTCCTTTCAGCCCCATGGTCTGTAATAAATTTCTTATCAAAGCAAGCGATATGATCTTCCATACAGGCCTTATATGTGTCCATCCCAGAAACCTTGCTAGCAAGTTCCAGGCCAACACTCATCCATTTTTTTGCAGAATCAATCAGGCCAAGCCGCACAGGCACTGCTGCCCGGTTCCATGCTGTCATGGCAAGCCATTTACCCTCTTCGATAGGATATTCACCTTCCTTCAGTCCAACCATTATTCTATAGGCTTTCTTATACATACTATGAACAGCATCATCATCTGTATCACCCTTGTGAATGCCAGCTACTACAATAAGTTTCCGGATAATAAGTGCTATGTTCAGATAGTCTGGTGAGGATGAAGAAAGAAAGAATGAGAGACATTCATTAAGAGCAAAGGCAGCCACTTCAAAATTGGATCGAGGACCCTGGCAGGCAGCAAGGCCAATTTGAAGAAGATAATCCGGATTACAAGCCTTTGAGCTGGCAAAGCTTTTTACAAGGTCTTGCTGGGAACCTGAATTGGCGAGTCTTCCATGTAGATCATATGCATTGAAGGTGTACATGAAAAGGAGATTGGGTTCAATGGTGGCAATTTTGTTGTCAAAAAGTCGAGTCCCCGCTGAGATTGCAGTCAGTATCTGCATTCAAACGCTAAGGCAGTTTATGGAAGCAACAAAGTTTCAACAAAAAGAGAGAATGGAAGAATAAGTTACCGTTTCCAGTAAATTTTTTGAAAGGAAAGGCAGGGTCTACCTATTACACCAATCAGATATAAAAGCAATATGAAGCCACAAGAGGCCTTCTAAAGCAATTAAGTAATCATTGTGACGTACCTTCCCTGCTCTGTCAAGCGACTCAATAGCTTGTTTCACTTCAACATCCGCCAATGCAGTCTTCTTTTCATTCCCTAAAGCTACCTTAGCAGATACACTCAGTATCAATGATTTGCAAGCCATGACCCTGTTTTCTGCATCTTGTCCATCAGCCATGAATCCATAAAATTCTGATGCCAGTTTAAAGAATTCAGCACATAGCTCATACTTCTTCTCTTTTCCACATTTTGTCCCATAATTCCACGAAGTCACTGCAAACCAATTTTTTTCTCGTCTTCCAACCTCCCCACCTCCAAAGAAGCAGTCAGGTCCAAGCTTAGATGCACGGGTCTGTGCTTGTTTCATGAACTTTTGGATCTCAGGCTCATTGTTAGGCTCTTGAGTGAGGATTGTTACAAGGGTGCGCAGTACTACAACTTCTGTAACTGGCATGGGTTTTCCCGATATATGGAAGTTAAGAAGGTTGGAAAGAGATGCAACAGCAACCGAAAGAGCATGGGAAGCAATAGCTTCGTGTGCTGAGAGGGACAGGAAGTCTGGACTGAAATCAAGGCAGGTAGTCATTGCTTCAATCTGACTAATGGCACCATGATGATCCCTCTTTTGCAAATAGATCTTGAACTGCGGGAATCAGAGAATATTTAGTTTCGTCTTTCAACGAAATAAGATCAGAGTAGAATGTATTCTTGAGCAAGCTTAAATATGAGTTTGACAATTATGGTAATCACTGTGCCCCGTATTTTACAAGGTCCATTCAAGAAAGAGATGGGAGAGTCAGAGCACCTTAAGGAAAGCACACGCAATATTAGGCTCTATCTGCAAAAGTAAAAAGGAGATGAATGGGCAAATTAAAGTTGTCGGCTAACTAAAGAAGAGTAAAGACATCTATCAAGTCAACAATGTAGCTTGAACTTATTTAAAATACCTTTTCAGCCTCATTGATGTACTCTTGAGCTCGATCAAGCTGAGAAAGTGCTAGGTAGCAGAGACACAAAACTCTAAAGCCCTTGGCTCTAAGCATCCTGTTCTCTATGTCACATGGAGTATAAAGCATGGACTTCTCAAACATTTCTGCACTTGTCTCATAATCTTTAGAGCGAAAATGATCTGAAGCACTGTAGAGATCAACAGAGGCTAACTTAAGTGTCAGATTTAAAAGGATCAATTCCAAATAAAATTACCTTCTCATAATTTGATTAGCAGCCATCAATAGAAGACACCGCCCAATTTCCAATATCTATATGTCATCCCCGTATCTAGATTTAACATGATAAGAAACATCTTCATTTTTTATTCTGTTTAGAATACTGGAGCATTTGATCTTCTCTAAAAGTATCTCCAGATCCTCACAAAATAATTATTCACAAACAAGTGTTGCACAAGAGTCAATAGATTGGAAGAGACTCCTTGAAAGAACATCTCAACCAAGTCGAAAGCCATCAAAAAATAACATGGTTACGACATTTAACTCCAGTGGTTTCTCTGTAGTAGCACAAAAACAAGATGAATCAATCCTGACAATTATGTCTAAACTCATATAGTAAACTAATTAGCCAACTGACACTGCCTCCAGTTAGCTGCCACCATTGACAGCAGTGAGGACCCCTCATGCATGAATAAACAAATAAAGTGTCAAAACTGTGAGAATGAACATCATTAGAAATAAACCAAGTGAATGGTGGATTGTTAAGGGTGACAGATAATCAATCAAACCACTAATGAAACTCACCTGATTACTTTTCCAACCAGATTAGTATCTGATATCACAACAGAAGCACAGAACATAGACAACCGTCCGTTCCACTAACATAGAACTCCGTTATTTTATGATTCTCGTGGATCCATTTCATTAGATATTTTTTGTTGCTTGTAACGGTTGGTGATGGTGGGCAAGCTTCAATACTTCCATCATTAGTTTAACTATCACGCTAATAAGAAAGCATCTAAAGCTCAATGTGGACAAACAAGTATGTTTCAACACTATAAACCATTTGATATAGGTTTTCCCGACGTCACGTGAAGAAACACCATTGCTCTATTAGTCGTAAAGATCTTGACGCTGTATCTTGGCGGGAAATTAAACATTAACTTACCAATTCCATAGAACAGCATGCATGGCCTTCCTCTCCTTAGCCACGGTCTCGCCTGCAAAGAGTGCCACAACCCTTTTATCAGACGCCAGCTCAGCCACCACCTTGGCCCTAATTCTGGATCCCTCCCCGTTGCTATCCCCGAGTACTCTGTGAGCTACTCTGACTGCTGCCTTGGCACTAACGTGGCACCGGCCTAATAGCCCCAAGAACACGCCCTTGGCTGTCTCTGCTCCCGCCGTTCCCACCGCCTGGAAGTACGCCTCAACCGCGGATACCCAAACTCCCTCAGGGATGTCCTTGTTTACCACCATGCTTCTCAGCTCCTTCTCCGCCTCGCTGAACCTTCCCAGCCCCAACCACGCCTTCATCGCTAACACAGGCAACGACGCGTGCTGATCCCCACCATCCCCACAACCACCGCCGCCATCTCTTAAGACCTTCACGCATTTGATCACGCTTTCATATTCTTCCTTTTGCAAATGGACGGCCGATATGAAACGCAGCGCCTTTGATCTCAACCCCTTCAGCTCCGCCATATCGTCCCGTGCTCTTGCCACACCCAGTCCCTTCTCGCACAGGTCAAGTGCCTCATTCATGAGCCTCATTGCCTCGTTCACGCCATTATTCTCATTCACTGACAAGACGCTCTTGCCGAAAGCTAGAAATTGATTCCCTAGCGATTTGAAGTGATTGGGAAGCCCGAATAGAAGGCCTTTGGACCTGTTCAGCAAAGTTATCGCAAGATTTCTGTCCGATAGTTCCCACGCAGTCCGAGCTCTAGCGAGGTTCAAATCGAATAGGAGCTTTTTCTCTCCCATATCTGATATTTGGCCGATATCGAGCTTCGACACAAGATCCGTAGCCTTCTCAAAGCAAGTGGAGGCAAGATCATACTTCTTGAGATCGTTCCACGCGAGGCCAGTCCTGTGGTAGAAGAGAGCCGCTTTGATATCCGCAGATGGAACGCCAATGACGTCTCGGGCAAGGGAGAGCACTTCGGCGGCAACATTTCGCAGAGTGGCAATGCTCTCGGCATACGATTCTCTGGAAGAGGAGGAGGAGCGTATGGAGGCAGTGTTGGAGAGGTCGACACATGCGTTCCAAAGGCGGAAGCTGTGCTTCCATAGTTGGAGCTTGAGGGAGTTAGGGAACGGAGCGAGTTGACTCAGCTGAATGAGGGTTTGGCGGAAATGGGAGAGGAGATTCTCGGGTATGCCTTGATCCACCGAGACGCTTTCAGTTTGTTTGACAAAGGATTCAAGCTGGGAAATGATGTGTTGATGAAGACTGTTGTTTTGGTGGTTATTCGATTCTGTCTCTTGGTTTGGTTGCCGGAGTTCCGGCGTGGAAATCTCCGCAATTCTCATGCCGCCTTTCCGTTTTCTTTTTAACCTTATAAAAATATTTGAATTTTAAAAGCAAACAATTTGTGGAGGGAAATTAAAATGGAAACCTCCCATATAACTAATTTCCGCCTCCTTTCGCGTACTTAATAATAATAATAATAAGAAGAAAAATACTAATAATTTCCAGCTCCTTCTCTCGATCGGAATAGGAAAGATAATCTATTTCCTTATCGTAGATGGAAACCCGGTTTCCCTCATAAGCTTCAGTTTCCGTAATAAGCTTCAGTTCCTTCACCTGATCAGGATAGGAGTGATAATCTATTTCCTCATCGGACATGGAAAAATTCATCCATTATATATACACATTGCCGTCTCACTTTCTCCAACTCACTTTGCTTTCAAACATAGCAGAAGAATGGCTCTTGTTCATCAAAACTCTCTGTTTCATGAAAACCAAAGAATGTCTGCGAGTGAAAGGTGTCAATCGAGCGTGAGCATGAGGTGGATTAAGCAGCTTGGTCGAGGTGGTTATGGCGTTGTGCACTTGGTGATGGTCACAACAAACTCAGTATGCAACTTGTATGCAGTGAAGACTGCCTTACCAAAAGGCACCATCGTTCTTCGCAAAGAATGTGGTATTCTGTCTCAGTTCAAAGGCTATCAAAGAATTGTCCAGTGCCACGGCGATGACTGGATATTCCTTCAAGACGAAGGCCATTACAGCGTGTTCCTGGAATTCGCACCCATGGGTTCCCTCCTGGACTTGCAGCAGAAAACTTACGGGGGAAAGATACCGGAAATTGATGTCAGGCAATTTACCAAGATGATTCTGCAAGGCCTTTCTTGCATCCACAGGAAAGGCATCGTCCACTGCGATCTCAAGCCCCACAATATTCTTGTTTTTGCAGCCGACGACAAGGACGAAATCCCCGAGCTTAAGCTCGCTGATTTTGGAGTAGCCAAGGAGCCAGGAGAGGTAGACGACGGGAAGTGGAAGCATCATTTTCGAGGCACTCCTCGGTACATGTCGCCGGAGTCACTGAAGTTGGGAGAGATTAAGCCGGCGCTTGACCTATGGTCGCTGGGTTGTATTATAGTTGAAATGGTAAGCGGGGAGTCGTGCTGGCCGCATAAGACAACTAAGGCGATGTGGGATCAGCTTGTTTTGCTGAACGAAACGCCCAAAATACCAGAGAACTTGACAAGAATGGGGAAGGATTTCTTGAGGAAGTGTTTTGCACTGAAGCCCCAAGCTCGATGGAGTGCTGATATGCTACTGAAGCATCCTTTTATAGATCATTATTAGCATCACAGGCCATGAGTAATTGACGATTTCAAAAGTAACAGTTGGAGAAAAGCAACAGGGGAATCCGTTATTGTTGTAAGAAGTCTTGTAGTGGATGAAGAAATACTTTGAAAAAAAATCTTGTAATAGGAGCTGAACCGGTTCAAGCATCTGAAAAATCTTGTATGATCTTTTGATGTTGAATATTTTGTTTGATTAAACACCTTGTTGCTCCTTCAAGCAAAATAGTATGAAATGAAATGAAAGAACATATGTCAATGTTCATCGACACAATTCATGGTGTTTTAGTTTGTTATTACTTTCCCTTCCTTCTAAACTCTACTAGCTTCAAATTTAACTTTCCATTTCAGTTGTTAAATTGAGATTCAAATTTTTTTGTTAAAGTTTTAGTTTTTTTTTGTTAAAAATGTTTTGTGAAATCTCAAAATATATAATTGTAAATAATTGGTACTTTCTTTCAACGTAAACTTCAACTCCATTGTTATTGGTACAAAAGTCCTCCGCCATCCTCCACCAGAGCTGTAAATGCGCCAACAGCAGAGAGATAAATCTTACGCCAACCCTGCTTAATGTCTTCCACCCCAGTATTACCCAGTAACAGCTTCATTCACATAATTCTAATTTCCATTTTGATTGAAAGAGAAATACGTGAAGAACATAGTTCTAACAAGTAAAAAGATAATGTCTGGACAAATATACATAAAAGCAACAATATCTTCAATTTAGCATATACATACTAAAACAGAGTGCATATATTAGAGGATCAAAAGGTCTTCTCGTACAACAGATTAAAATTAACAAGGCAATTTTTTTTCTGAGTCTTTTTTTTTTTTTCAAAATACTAAATTCATTTCATACACTGAAACATCCAGGAGGGTTAAGGCTAACAGTTAAAATGAGAACATCATAGTCACCTGTCTGCCGTCTTGCCTAATTAGTGAAGATAAGGGGCCTGGTACTGGTAGCCATTTCCAAAGTAGTTGCCATGACTGGGAGTGAAACTGTAAGTAGCCGACCCCAAAAGGGAGGGGCCATGGTTGTCCGCAGGTCCAGGGTAAACAAAAGGTCTGTCATAAACGTACTGTGGGTACCTATGGCTATCAGTGACTCTAGGATAGAATGTCTTGTCAGCAACAACATTAGTAACACGAGGCCCATATCCTGCACCATTTGCACGAGGTCTCTTGGGTTGAGGCTTAGCAGCTTCTGTTGCCCTTTTCTTATCTGCCTTGGCTTTCTCTAGCTGGAGAACCTTTTTCTGAAGGGGGTCAACGGGATACTGCTCCTCAAGATTATGCTCTTCAATGCACTTAATCACAGCCTTGAGGGCAGTCAGCTCCCTTTCGCTGACATCATTCTATGACACAAGAAATTAAATTAACTTATTAATCTGTCACAAAAAAATTAAATTGTGGAGCAAACACCATGGAGCACCAAATTAGAAGTTCAGAAAATTAGTGATTTACAGTTGGAACTCTTATGAGAAGAAATGCAATAGGTAAAAAGACTATAACCTACATTAGTCCTGCTCTTGACAACAGAAGCAAATTCTTTCAACACATTCTTTAATTTTGCCAACTACTCCTCCCTTCTCTCCCCCCCCACCCCAAAAAAAAGAAAAAAGAAAAAGAAAAACAAGTTACACATGGCATGTGCAACTATGACCAATCTAGTTATGCCAATCCGGATGAAGAGTGGACTCTACACCGAAGAAAGGCCCTAATTCTTAAGCTTGTAAAGAAAAGAATAACTATCAATAAGTACTGAGAAGCAGCTACGACATCCGATTACCATTTCCTGGATAAATTATTCATACACATTCTCTGTGCAATAACAAAAACAGTATAAAGAGTACCACCAGATGCATAAAGAGCAAATCATAGAGCAACCAAACCTTCTTGAAGCTTGACTATAGAATAATACTCATAAGGTCAGTACTGACTTTCTTTACCTAGAAAGTTCAAGGAAAATTATGGTAACAAAAGAATTCTTGAAGTCCAGTGTTCGTTAATTGCAAATAGGGAACTATCAATCAACAATTCAAGGTTTACTAGAAAACTAGGAAATAGGTGAAACACAAAGAATAGTTACTGATCCTAAATATTAACAAAACACTAAGTTTCAACCAGAGGAAAAACACTATACTCATTAAGATAATTTTACATTATATGCTCGTGTATATACTATTATTATTGGAAAACAACGAGCATATGTAAGAACTTCTCTCTAAAACTTCTCTTTCTAAAAACTTCTCTCTATTCTTCATTTCTGCCTAAACTTTCCAAAACAGATCCTTTCTTTCTATCAGTTTTCTTATTGTTTTAATCCTTTTCAAACACTCGGGAATAAGCTCAGGGCGTCTTGGGTCGGCCATAATGGCCGACCAATCCTCACTTGTTTAGCGAGATACATGGGGGTCTTAAAGCGAACAAAAGAAGTAAACATGGGAGTCCGGAATGACCAGAGATTCTTGGTAATTGAGAATAAAACTTTTGATTTGGTAAGCGAGGGAAGGAAAATGGATGGACTGCGAATTTGCGAGAACGGGAGAGGTTTCTGAACTTCAATATCTCTGGGAAAGGTGGAAGTTGATTGGTTGTCGAAGGCATTTGAAGAATTTTAATGGTACAACATCAAAACACCATGGGCGAAACATTTTCAAGGCCACAACCGAGATCTGTGGATATCGTTTGGAAAGAATAGGAGGGGTGTGTATCTACTTATTTTAGAATCATGGGAAAGGAAGACGAAGGACATCTTTATCCCGGATGAGTATCAGGGTAGCGGCTGGTGGCTCTTCATGGTGGCTGCCTTTGAGTTGGCGGACCAAAAGTTTGTCAATCTGGACTCCAAAAAATGTTCAGAGAGGAAGGTGGTTGTGTCAAGTGGAAGGACCTTAATTCGAGACGAACATCGTACGTTTCTACTTTAGTTGTCCATATTGTGAAGCAGTGATCCAATATTCCAAAGTGCTGGGAGGAGGCTGAAGTTATGCGGCGGGGCTTAACACTACGAGGAAACAGACTCACGAGTAAGGCAAACTAGATCCATGAAGTTTGTGTGGAAGGAAGCAGGCTGATCACCTGACTCGGCTCGCGAAAGCCTTGGATGGGAGATCAAAGGAGCTATGGTTTTAATGGCCCTGGCCCAACTCCTCTTGGGTTGTTGGGTATGAGACACGGTATTCACAAGAAGAGAAGGGTAAAAGTATTGTGGTATCGGATTTGAAGGCGGATGGGTCAAGAAGGAAGAAAGACACTCTTATGCCTATTTGGAGGCCCGTTGCTAGTAAAAATGTGTGTGGTGAGTCCTTGGTTTCAAAAGGGGTGCAAGCCTCGACAGATGTTCCAGTAGAGATCATGCAGTGTAAGGAAGGTGGACCCGAGATGGTCGGTGAAGAAGCAATCAACGGAGAAGAGCCGGTGCTTGTGCGACTATTCGATGAACATGATGCAAGTTTACTCAAGGGGATGGCGGATGAGTTGTCGGAAAACAAGATTGAGGACATGGAGTTTTTAGAGGAAGGGAAAAACCCTAACGGCAATGAGCAGGCACTTGTTGTGT